TATAAAATTGATTAAATAAAATATAAAAAAACAATAGTATATGAGGTTGCATATACTAAAAATATTATCAAAAAATAAAATTTTTATTTTTTAAAATAAATCTAATCTACATAAAATGAAAAAAATGATATATATATGTATCATACTGGTCTCTTAAAAACTTAAATGCACACGATATGATTAAAAAAATAATTATTACTTAAACAAGGCTAAATAAGCCATGAAAAATCATAGAAAAAATGTATTAATTAAAATATAAATTTAAAAATTATTTAAAAAATTATATAAAAAGTATTAACTAAAAAAAATTAAAATTAAAACTAAAAACAAGTCAGGCGTTTTTCAATGTAGTAAATCAGGCCAAACATCTGGACCATAAGAAAAGTGCCCACACACGGGCCTCTAAGGGCAGGCCCATGCACGTGAGCCCTTAGTTTTTTTAAAAGTTAATGTCATCTGCATAATATTTTTTGAAAAAAATAAAATAAACGACTCATTATTTGAAAATACCTAGATTCTTGCCACTATGATGATCAAAAAATTATGATTCTTGGTTTTCTTTGCTTAGAAACCCAATTTTCAATTTATTTTTAACTTGAAATACTTAGAAAAAATCTTAAACAACAAATCCATAAATATCTATAAAAACCTTAAAAGCTAAATAAAAACCTAAAATAAAAACTCTTCCTGAGCTTAAATCCCATTTTTTAGGCAATTCTAATAATTAAAAATATCTAAGTGAAACCCCTCTCACTAAATGCAATATTTTGGTATTCACTAAATGCAATATTTTAGTACAAAGTAGATAATTTTGATGACAATAATCATTATAAACGTTGATTTTTCTCTTTAATATCAAGATCAAACAACTCTTTCTCTCTCCTCTCTCTCTAACTAGGAACTAAAATATAAGAAAAATAAAGTTTTATACCACAATTGAATCTTAGACATTCAAAGGGACCCAAATTATATTATTTGTAAACCTAAGGACCATAATGTATTTAAAAAAAAACTTTGTACACATCACCCATTTTGGCTGTTTTTTTCATTTAGATCCTACTTTTTTTAATGTTGTTTTTATATAAGAAATCATAAGCAATTAATCTTTAATTTGGGTCAAATTGCCAACAATAAAAGTTTGAGGACTAAAATAAAAAAATAAAAATACATAGTAAGTGAACAATCTAATGTGTGAGTATGTGAACAATACAACACAATGTTTTATCCACGAATAAAAATACCCACAAGGTTTAGTGTTAACGATTATATATATATATAAGACAGACCTTTATCCTTTTGTGTTTGCTAATTTTGTTTATTAAAATTATTTTTTAATCAAATGAAAATTTATATAGACAAATATATTAAATTAATTGAATAAAATAAAAATAATATTATGTAAAGTTGTATATATTAGAAATATTATTTAAAAATAAATATATTTTTATTCTAAAAAAAAAAACTCATCTACAAAAAAGAAAAAAAAAAAATTATAAATGAAGCAAAATAATTTTTTCAAAAATTAAACACACACAACACCATTAAAAAAACCTCTATCCAAAAAAGTTCAAAAATTTACAAAAAATAGATATTAAATGAACCATAAATTCTAAAAACAAATTAAAAAATAGCTCTAATATTGTGACTTAAGTTATCAAATATGTGATTTACAAATTCACCCAAGTTAAATAATTTTCTTCTTTTAAATTTATATATTTTTTAATAAAAAATAAGTTATCTTGATTTTATTTTACTTTTTTGTCTTAGCTCCAGTATCTAGAAGTCCACTAGACTCCGATTAATCCAATCAAGTTAAAATGACCCATTAAAAAGTAAATTTTTTTCAATAATGATGTATTCTATTCACAAAACTCAAACTCAAGACCTCATTGAAAAAAATAAGTGTTGAGCCACTTGAACTGACCATCATTTATATCTTAATTCCTTGTGCTTACATCAATATGCACTTCCCTTTTTGTCATTATCTCGTTGAAATTCTTAATTAAGAACATGATCATGTACCAAGTAAGATGCATAATCATTGGTTGTTCATATGATGGCTACTGGAAGTTTACATGGTTATTAACTTCAGGGCCCGTGGGATTAGTCGTGGTGCGCGCAAGCTGGCCCGAACACCCACGTTAATCTTAAAAAAGATGCATAATCATTTAACTTAGCAGCATTAGTAACATTTTTTATGATTATCATTACATTAATCTATCATATATGATGATGTCATTCTTTGCAATTTTACTTTATAATTTTTTTATTTTACAATAAAAATATTTTTTTATCAGTTTCATAATGTAAATTAAAACTTTTTTTTTCTTCAAACAATCCTAAGAACTTATGTTCTTGTCAATATGATATATGCAAAAACATTTAATAAAAAATCTCAATCATTTTGCATATTTAAGTATATCTTATTGGTGTTTGGTTTTAATTTTTTTTATTTCAAATTAATTTTTTTAATTGTTTAATGTATTGATATAAAAAATAAATTTTAAAAAATAAAAAAATATTATTTTTAAATATTTTTAAATAAAAAATATTTTAAAAATTAATTATAAAATTAATTTTTTTTTATACTGTGTAAAGATTAACCATTGAAGTTGGGATAAGAAATTAAAATATAAAAAAAATCAATTTCTCATCCTTTGTGAGTTAAGAAACATCCCTCCACAACCAAATATGCTAGTTTTTCATTTGACGTGACTATAGGTCATGGCTCCACCCTCCGCACCAAAGGCAACGTCAACGGTCAACTTCCCAGAGCAAGGCAAAAGGCACGTGGCACGGACCCACATGTTCCACAAACAATTACACGGGGCTTGGAAAATTGCGGGCCCCACCTCTCAATTTGCAGATTCGCAATGTGGAGGGTGCGGTGCTGAAAATGGGGAGAGGCTATTGCCACAGCTTCCATTATATATATATATTAAGTACTTAACATACATACATATATACATTTATCATCAAATTTAAAAATTTTAAAAGTTAATCTAGCTAATCTATAAAAAACCTTGTTCTATTCATTAACAGAAAACTATTTTTATTTTTTATTTTTATTATTCTTTAAAATGTGTTTTTCAACTCACTTAACTTTTAAAATTAAAGATAATTTGTTTAATTATTTCGATAGTATTTGAAACTATAATAATAATTATTTTTTATTTAGAAATATATAAAAAATATTTTTAATATCAATATATAAAATCATAAACAAATATTTTAAAGTAAAATTAATTTAAAATATTTTTTAAATACAAAAACAAATAAAACCTTTGTATCTAAAAGGTAAGGAAGGCTATGCTAATAGACAATAAATAAGGCTGTGACAATAGCAATTCCTTTTTTTATTATTTATTTTTGAGACCTCTCAAAAGATTAGAAGCATGAATTATAACTAGAGGAGGCATGGGAATGAATGGCAACTACACTTCCCTACAGGTACTATGACGACGACGTCCAACAATTCATTAATATTAGGTTTGACTCGGGTAATTTTAATTAAGATACCCTCTCTGACCCGATCTTTGATATCTGAATCTCATGATATATATATATATCACGATTTTGTTATAAAATTTTATTTTATTTTATTTTATTTTACTGTGATTGATTTGAAAAAAAAAGAATAGAATTGCTAATATCAAGAAAAAATTATTCATTAATATTGATTTCAATCATAAAATGATTGATTTTAATACCAACAAATCACTTGGATGTTCTTTTATTTTTAAATTATTCGAGAAAGTAAATCTGACTTTAAGATATTTTTGGATTTTAGATTTAATTTTTATTTTTGAATTAATTTTTTAGGTTATTTGAAATTATAATTGACTTTATTTTGATTTTAATAATTTTTTATATGTTTTCAGATAAAAAAAATGGTTGGATAATGAATTTTCAAAGTAAAACAACCCTACTTGTAAAACAATTCACCTCCCTTTTTTTATTAAAAAAAAAACATTTTGGCCACATGCTAGAGTTTTGATCGGCTGTGGAAAAGTGATAAAAATAATTTTTTTTAGATTAATATATCAAAATAATTTAAAATATATAAAAAATTAATTTTTAATAAAAAAATTAATTTTTTTAAAACATGAGTACAACCGTGTTTCCAAATAGTCACTACTATATTTAGTATTGTGGTAACTTTTGTAGTTATGATTTAAAAAAGATTGTTTTATAAAAGTATTTTTAATTAAAGTTGGTTTGCTATGTATATATATATATATTGAATTTAAATATTATAAATTTAATTATTATTATTACATCATAAAATAAATAATATTTTATATACAATATTTTTTATTATTCAATTAAACTATCTATAATTTCATCAGGTATGAAATATATCTGACAAGAACTATAGTTTCCTTGATTTCTTAAACAAGCAATAACATCATATAAAATATAATCAGGAATAAAATTAAAATTGTGATTAAATTCTATAAATATTACGTTATCAATAAAACATAACTAAAAATAAAAAATTTAATGTAATCTTTTTACTATATCAAATCTAGTTTAATATATTTAGTTTTGAATCAAACTGGATGTAACTAGAATCACACATTACTATTTATATAAACAATCACACATTACTATTTATATAAACAATAAAGTTAACCTAGTAAAGTATGTTCAGTGGAGAGTTTCACTATCCACTAAATAAGTTCACAGGTTTGCAGAAAGCAGCTTAAAAGCTGCTTTCCACAAACCTGTGTTTTTGTTAAATTTATATGGATCCTCTTACTTTACTATGATTTGGGATTATCAAACGAGTTGCGCATTATCAAACAAGTTGCGCATGTATTTGACTTCAAACACAGATTCAACATTCTAAACAAACAGCATTATAAATAACAGAAACTGTCTAAAAATAACAACGAACGGTAAGAAACCAATTTCCAGATCAAAATAAAATGTAACTGCTGACTACCAAAAATTTACAATCTGAACTTTCAGGTTTTTGATATAATTATCCATTGAGAAAGAAAAAAGAAAAAAAGAACAAGGTCATACGCCATCTCAGTTCTTTCATGTTTGATACATTCATGCATCATTTAGCAGCAACTAATGCAACCTACCAACAAAGTAACTATGACGCTAAAAGCATAAATATAACATGCCTACGAATCTATCCATGAATGTCTTCCTTGGTTTGAGAATCCCAAAACACCAACGCAAGCCATAATCTAGACAAAACAACAAACTTATTATTCTAAACTTCTAACATTGCGGTTGCTAGTCTTTTCTGCTGAGGTGATTCACAGGCACTCCACTGGCTATATCTCTGCAGGTTCTGGGCTTTCTAAATTCAATGCCGCGGGTTCCGGGGCATCCAAATTTGTTGCCACAATCTTACATACAGGCATGTTCTCATTCTTACTCAAAAGCTTCAAAGATGGATGAACCTCAATATCACGCATGAATAATCTATCTTCAATATCTAGATTGCTTATGTCCACCTCAATTTTTTGAGGAATGTGTTCAGCTGGGCAGAGATATTTTAGAGTACTTCTCATCATCTTCAAATGGCCTCCTGTTACAGCATTGGAGTAAAGTGAGAGATGCAAAAACACCATCAGATATCTTTAAATTTTTGGAAGAATTTTTCAGCAAGGAAATATGATGATTTTGACAAACAAATTTACAGGTATGGTGGTTCTGATGATTTTTTTCAAATGTTCTGTCTGAAATTTATTTCCACAAACAAACATATTTCTTTACCTAGCAAGGAAACATTATTTCTCAAACATGTGGTAAATTCAACGGGCAAAAGCATACCATTCTAATCAATGCCAGTGGTTGTTACTCTAGTGTTGTTTATGAAGATGGTATCCCAAGCTTGGGGAGAAAACTAAGCCAAATGCAAATCAGTATAAAGTGGCATGGTTAAATAGCACTGATAACAAAATTCATGGGAGGTTTGCATTGATTTGTTCCATGGAACCATTCATTTCTATTACATACCTTGCTAAGACATCCATGGATATTTGACAAGAATGTGGAACAATTTCTTTCAAGTTAATGACCTTGTGATTAATCATAAATGCACCAATGACTTAGGACAAATCTCCAGAGAACCATAGGTTTGTTTCTCTTAGAACACATTGTGGAGAAGAAATTCTAGGATGAGCTCCTAACACAATGGACTTGAGTTATTTTTGGAAGAGAGTTAATACCACATCTATTGCAAACATTGTTAACAGATTCAATTTCAGAAACCAACAGTCAGAGCATTATCCATATCATAATGAAAAAGGTATTTTGATCAAAGGAAAGGTGCTCTTTGTAGTTGTATGGGCTCTTGTTTGCAGTTCATCTAGTCAAATTTACATCTTGATAATCTATTATGTCAAAAATGTATTTATAACTTTTGCTTCCTGGAATGAATCTTACGTTAAAAAAGATTGGGAAAAGGTTCGCAAAATAAAAGACTAAGCTGTCGTACAACGAGGATAATTTACATATCAGAGAGGGTGAAAAAAAAAGAAGTGCTTTGGCTGATGATGGAGCGCTGCTGTCACAATATTTCAGCAGGCAAATTCTCCTATTCCAGCAAACAAAACCACCATTTTTCCTAGAAGCTCAACTGAGACACAAACTTTCAAACCCTCCACATTCCTACCTACTCAGCTAAGAACTTTCAACCCCCCTCTTTAATTTTGAACCCTCCACATTCCTACCTACTCAGCTAAAAGTTACATAGCCAGTTTTTTCCTGCATCAGACATCTTTATATATGCCTCAGGAAGATAAAGGATTCAGATTGGGACTAAAGGCAAGACTCAAACAATGGTGAGTTGTCAAATAATTGTAATTTTCAACTTGCTTAGGTTTATTAGAATTGTCTTCAAGACATCTCATCTTCCATATGCTATCAAGCCTAACTTTAGAAAGATATCCAATCAACGATTCTCATGACATTTATCATTCACTAGGACAATAATTATTCACGAGAACCATGACCATGCACAGCATACCTAAATCCTTAAAGTTTTGAAGAAAGTTAGCATACTAAATAACCTACAAGTACCACCTTGGAAAAAAAAACAAAACAAATCCAATGATTCTTACAGAACTCTCTTCATACACTAGGAAAGACGACCCACAATCACACATAACTTATCTACAAATTTATAGAAAGTCTCATAACATACTAATAATCTTCAAACATCTTATCTACCCTAACATTTACCCCCATAAGAAATTATAAGAAAACACAGTCACATCCCCACAAACAATATCATGTTACGAAGCCTCATTGATGGGCCATGCTGGCACCAGCCCCCAAGGTTCTTTAGAGGGCATTCTGAGAATAATCTCAATGCTCAAGCATTGATTTGGCACATGGCTAAGATAGAAAACATGGTTGGGAACCTGAGTAGTTTGGTAATTTTCAGATCTGCTGGAAAATCTGGAAATTACAGAATTTTATTTCTGTTTTAGCATTTTATTTTCTAGTCCTAAAGTTGTTAGGTTTTCCTATTCTAAATAGGAATAATTATGTTGGAGGTTTAGGAATCCATGTACTTGTAGGATTTGGACTGCTACAACTCTATAAATAACTATGTTGTCTTTCAACATTTTCAATGCAATAATATTAAATAATTCCCAGCAATTTGCTTTGATTATGTTGCTCAATCTCCTCTCAGCTGTGACTCTTAAGAAACCCAGGTGTAAATCCTAGAAATCTATCCACACATTTAATCATAATCCACAGGAATCTACGGCAACTCAGGCCTGAACAGCTTTTGAAACTCAGATTCAGTACAGCCCTAAGCTTGCCTGCGCATCGCTCATAGTTATAAAATTTCCATCACTTTAACAATCTGGAAAGCCTCACAAAATAATGAATAAATAAATAATAATGAATTATACGAGAGTAAAACGTACCTTTCTTAAGACCGGGACAATTTTCTTCTCCTTTGAAAACAACCGGCACGTCAACTTTCATCTCAGTTCCTTCATCAGCCCAAGCAAACACCAAATTCAATATCTTCCCTGTCTTTTCATCCCTGTGTATCTACAAAACAATCCGAAAAACATAAAAAAACCACACAAACTTCAAATTATTAAACCCACTTAAGATTGAAAATGAACTAAAACAGTGTGACTTACCTTAATGGGCAATACAGTTCCGGATTCAAGCAAAACCGATGACCCGGTCCCAGCTCGGATCTGAAGAGGGAAAGTAGTGGAGCAAAAGAAAGGGAGTTCTACGGACTTAAGAATTGCTTGAATCTGCTTTTTCTCAGTAGTCAATAATCTCTTCCTAGATGTATACCGATTTGATGGATTTATATCAAGGAGACTCTGAGAGAAAACCACAGCAGGGATTCTACCTTGCTCTCTTTCTCTAGCTGAAACTCTGCTGCCTACAACCTCTCGAGGTATTGCTTGGATTGTGTGGTAACGTGACGATTGAAATGGTAGCTGTGGTGATAATGGCTGTTGTGGGGACTGGATTGCCGTCCTCAGGCTTCGCCACCACTTGTTCATAGTGTTAATTTTAGGTGTTTTGAGTCGCAGATTTTAGGGGTTTAAGGTGCGGGTAGGGCTTTAAAATTTGAGTGTATTTCATATGCCCCGCAGATGCAAATGGGGGGGTGGTTTTCAAAATATATTTTTATTAATTTTGTATGTTGCATAGGATATCTTCATGAAATATGTACGAAAAGATTAAAATAAAAATAAAAAAAGTATAGTTTTTGAGATTATAATTACATTTGTTTTAAAAAATATCTTTTTATTTAAAAATATATTAAAATAATTTATTGTTTATTTTTTAAAATATATTTTAACATAAATATATATATATATATATCCAAAATCATTAAAAAATATTAATTTGCAATAAAAAATTAAAACATTTTAAAACATTTTTATAATAAAAAAAACAAACTCTAAATATAAAAATCTAAAAGGTTTTGGGGATACTATGAATGTCAAACCATGTTTCAAGTGTAGTTTTAAGACATAAATGTATTATTATGGATATTAAGGATGTTCAAAGAATATTGTTAAAGGATAATTGTTATAGCTTGAGTGTTTTTGACACGACTAAAAGGTTGATGTCTTCTCCCAAGTGCAGAAGTGTCGAAGTAATAAATAACCCGGCAAGACCGGGGTCGAACCAAACATCTTATTTCTTTTTGAAGAAGATGACATATATGAATTTTATTTGATGTTTTAGATAGGAGACATAATAATGATTATACTTAAAAAAATATGAAATATATAAAAGACATAGTAAAGTTATCAATAAAATAATCACATGCGTTTTTAATGTATAATGGCATGTTCTTATAGTTCTATATGAAATATAGACCTAACAAACCAATGTTTTAGTGTTGGTGTCTATTGTATAAAAAGACATCACTTTTATTAATGCATATTTTCAAAATAAAAGAATTGGAAAACATAATTATTGATAATTAATTTTAAATGTAATGTTATTATAAAATATAAAAAAATAAAGAAAGAAAACAATGTGAAGTGATAAAAAAATAGTGAAATCAGGGCATACCATTGTTTTTTATAAATAACTCAAGTCATTTTTATCAATCAATAAATAAGACACGATCAACTATAACAAATTTTATATATTTTTTTTAGATGAAAAATAAATTTTTGGAATAATTTGGATTTCAAAATCCAAATTACAACATATTATTGCTTAAAAACACACAAAAAAAGAAAAGGAATAAAGACCTCAACAAACCTATTTTCAACTATCATACAAATCCTAAAACACCTTCTAGTTAGTCTTAAAATTTAAAATCAAAACAAATTGAAACAAACTTTGAGAATTATGATCTATATTTTTTGGAATGATTAAAAGTCTAAATCACATCTATCAAATTCTAATTTTTAATATAAATCTATTGGCACTAAGAAAAAATATTTTTTGTTATAGGTCAACATTTCTCTCTCTCATCTCTCTTTCTAATCATTTTCTATCTCGTTTTTTAACATTCAAGGATTAAAACATAAAAAAATAAAGTTATATGACTAAAGCCTCATTTGTTTGTTAGAAAGTAGTTTTTTTTTTAAATGAATTTCAAGAAAATGAATTATTTTTTTATATTTGGTAGTGTAATAAAAAATAAGTTGGAAAACACTTTTTTATATTTGGTTATGTTATGAAAAATAAGCTATAAAATAACTTATTAATATTTATTTTTTTCAAGTTTATTTAAATCATGAGGAACAAATCTTACAAATTAAAAAGTTGAATGAGAATGAAATTGAAAAAAAATATGATTTCATAAATTATCTCAAATAAAATCAATAATAATTAAAATAATATGGATCAAATCTAAAAAATTAAAAATTAAAAGATGAAGAAATTAAAATAATAATAATTAACATTTCATAAATTATTTCAAATAAAATAAGTAACAATCAAAAGAATGAGGACCAAATTTAATAGATAAAAATTTCAATTAAAAAATAATAAGGGAAAAACAAATAACAATTATAAAAAAAGAACAAAAGTTAATATAAAAATTAAATTATAAAGGATGAAATTGAAAAATAAATATTCAAAACAAAATATATATAGCAATCAAAAGTTTGAGAACTAAATTTGATATGATCAGTAAATACTATAATATTTTTATATTTTTCACAACTTTCAAAAAGTATCTTCCGTTCAAAATAAAAGAAAAATACTTTTATGAAAATCAAGTTAAATTTTTCTTTAACTATAAAGTATTTTCCGTTGACTGAAAATTTTTTTTTTTATCAACTTTTATAATAGCAAATAAACATAAAAAAATTTAAAAAATAATTTTTAAAAATCAAACATGCTGTAAAATGTAAACAAGTGAAGCTATGAGGACCAAATAAATATGAAAAATGAAAACCACATAGACCAAACGGTACTTTTCCACACCTCCATGAACAGTAATAAAAACACTATGAATAATATTTTATCTTTAGGTGAACAGAAGGGTGGAAACTTTATTTTATCAGTATTAGTAATTGGATGGAAATTGCATTCCAAGCCTCCAAATGCAAACCTAGGCTTAGAATGGCCTCATCAGCCTGGGCCCAAGAGTAACACAGAGAAATAGCCCAAATCCATACATAAAATTTACCAATTGATTTCCAGAAATTTTCATTTTGTCAAACCATTTTTGCACCTTATTTCCCACCAGAGAAGTCTCAAGAATTCTCACTTACTCAACAAGTATATAGTGAAAAGGAGGTGGCGAAACTGCTCAAGAAGCATGAGGACCCCAAGACCCGTGGAGACATTGAAATCTCTTTTTTATGAGGCCAGGGCTAGTCTTGAACATCCTGTTTATGGCTCTGCTGGTTATGTCTATTCCCTTCAACGACAAATTGTCGAAGTTAATGAACTACTTTTTAATGCCAAGAAGGAACTTGCAAGTTATATTGGTGAAGAACACGTAGGGCTTCCTTCATGTATTCCACCGATCAGATTGCAAAAGCAGTTGAATCCTTCTTCTTCGTTTCCAAGTCCACCAATCCTGAAATCTGCTCCTCATGCAGCGGTGAAATGGGATCTTTCTGAAATTGACTTTTTCACCGCAGCAGCTACCTTACATCATCAGGGTATTCCTACCGTGATACCATTAAGGAATAATGGACCAAATCCGAAGTTACGACAACAGAAGCAGCAAGATTTTGTAGGTGAAGCGGATCTGACTTTGGATCATGAATTGGATAAAATGGATCACAGCTCCTCTCAGATTGATCAATCACCAGCGGATCATTGCCTCAATATCAACTCCAATCAGAGAAGGGACAGCACCAAACGCAAACGAGAGGACATTTTAGTGTAAATGGTGTCGGTGGGAGAAACCACTAGTGGTATTTTTAGAATACTCAGAGAGGATAAAACACATAGTTTTATTACAAAATAAAAACTTACAAAATCAAAACACACAATCTTAATACACATCCTTTCTTTATCTCTTGTGTTTCTTTTTACTCTTTCTCACATTTAATAACATAAACTTAATAGTCTATTTATACATGAATTGAGAGGCAGCATATGATGGTGGTTCATATTATGTGGCAACTGGTGATGGTGGTTGATAGTAGGTTGTTGCGAGTGGTGGTTGGTGGTTGATTGAGTTTACCACAACAAGTCCCCTTTTTAAACTCAATCAAAGGATGTTATACCAAACATGAACTTCAGTCTTATAAATATTTCTCCCTTTAATGGCTTCGTAAATATATCTGCAACTTGATCATTTGTTTTGCAGGATATCAGTTCAACTTCTTTGTTCTTCACATGCTTTCGGATAAAATGATGACATGTATCAATGTGTTTATTTCTTTCATAATACACTGGATTCTTAGCTAATGCAATCAATTATCAATTATCAATTATCAATATAAATCTTTATAGGACTTTCTCGAGGAAATCCCAAAAACTTTAGCATATTCCTTAACCATATTAGATGGTATACAGCTGAGTTGGCAGCAACATATCCAGTATCACAACTTGATAACGTTACTATCGATTGCTTCTTGGATGACCATTTGAAAGATGTATCTCTCATAAAAAAAACAAATCCAGTTGTGTTTTTTCTTTTATCCAAATCTCTACCCCAATCACTATCTGAGTAGCCACTAAAATTCAAGTTTTCACTTGAGGTATAAAACATACCTTCATTTATTATTTCTTTGATGTAGGAAAGAATTCTCTTGGCTGCATTCAAGTGAGACTGATTTGGTGTGTCTATATATTTGCTGATAAGTCTGACTCCGTAAAGTGTATCCGATATGGTACGTGTCAAGTACCTTAAGGCTCCTACTAAGCTTTTGAAGTAAGTTGGATCAACATTTTCAACTTTACTCTTCCTCAATTCTACTTTATTCTTAACTGGAGTTGATACTGGATTGTTGCTTTCTATCTTGAACCTTTCAAGAATATCTTTGGTGTAACCGCTTTGGGATACAAAAATCCCTTATTCTTTCTGCGTTACTTCTAAGCCAAGAAAATATGTCATTAGACCAATGTTTGTCATCTCAAACTCCTGTGCCATGCTTTTCTTGAAGTCTTCAAAAATGATAGGATTATTGTCGGTGAATATCAAGTCATCAACATATAGGCACGCAAATAATATATTGTCATCTATTTCTTTCTTCACATATATTGCATGTTCATATGGATAATTTTTTAAATTCATTGTCTTGAAAATACTTGTCAATTCTAGTATTCCAAACACACGGAGCTTACTTCAAACCGTAAAGGGCTTTCTTCAACTTGTATACTTTGCCTTCATTTCCAGCTTTAATGTATCCAAGTGGTTTTTCAACATAGATCTATTCTTTTAGGAAGCCATTCAAAAATGCTGACTTCACATCGAGTTGATAGATCTTCCATTTATGTTGTGCAGTTAGTGAGATCATTAATTTGATTGTCTCCAGCCGGGCTATTGGAGTAAATACTTCTTCATAGTCAATACCTTCTCTCTGTTTATAGCATTTTGCTACTAATCTCGCTTTGTATTTGTATACTTTGCCTTTTGCATTCTTCTTCATTTTATAGACCCATTCGACACCAATTTCTTTCTTATTTTCTGGTAGATTAGTCAACTTCCATATGTTATTCTTTTCAATGGCATGTATTTATTCATCCATTGCTTCCATCCACTTCTTTTCTGTGATAGCTTCATTAAAGTTAAGTAGGTCATTATTTACAAAGAAACAAAATAGAGTTGTATCTTCCATTACTTAAGTGGCATCGTATAGCTCTTCTAGATTTCTCATCCTTCTTGGTCCTTCTGATAAGGATGCTGATGAGAATGCTGATGGTGGTGTTGATGATAATTTTGGTGTGTTTCTCCTGCTAAATACAGGGAATTTGTGTGCCAAACTTTGTGGCTCATTTGTTGGATCTTTTGCAAGTACTGTTGGTAATTCCACTTCATCTTCAAGGATCAAATCAATACTGATCCATTTTACTTCTTCTTGATCATCATTCCATTGCCAAGATTTATCTTGTTTAAAGATAACATTCTACTCATGATCACCTTTTTTGTCATAGGATTATACAGCTTGTATCTCATCCTTCTATCACCATATCTGGTCCTTTCTGCATTTGGAATCTTTGCATATGCCACACAACCAAAGACTTAAAGATGAGTAACACTTGGTTTATGACCACTCTATGCTTCTTTAGGAGTGATAGCTTGCAAACTTTTGGTTAGGCAGCGATTTAGTAGATACATTGCACATGATATAGGTTTAACCTAGTATTGTTTGAGCAACTTTTTCGCTTTGAGTAGACTTATTTCCATGTCAAGAATTATTCGATTCTTTCTCTTAGCTACATTGTTCAGCTGTAGTATATAAGCTGGTGTTATCTGATGTCTGATGCCTTGTTGTGTACAAAAAGCTTTAAAGCTATTTGTTGTATATTCTCCACCTTAAACAGATCTCACGGTTCTGATCTTATAGCCATTGTGCTTCTCAACAATTGCTTTAAAATCTTTAAAACAATTGAATACTTTTGACTTCCTCTTCAAAAAGTATACTTATGTCTTTCTACTAAAATTATCAATGAAAGTAAGGAAGTACCTATTTTGTCCAGTTGACATAGGCTTTATAAGACCACATACATTTGTATGCACCAACTCTAGTGGCTTCTTTGTTTTCCAGTTGACTTATATGGCAAAACTGGATCTGTGATGTTTGCTGAGGACACAACTCTCATAGACTTTATTTGGATGATCAATGTGGGGCATACCTTTGACCATCTTCTTACTTGGAAGCATCTTCAGACTTGTGAAATTCAGATGTCCAAACCTTAGGTGCCAGAGCCACTCTTCATTGTTGGTGATAGCACTCAAACACTTTGTGGCAGCATATTGGATGTTTATAGGAAACATCCTTTTCTTGGACATCTTCACATGGTCAATTAATCTTCTATTGAATCTTCAACTATTAGATTAGAGTTCTTCATAAGAAGTGTGTAACCTTTCTCTAGAAGTTGGCCTATACTTAGTAAGTTATGCTTAATAGGAATATAATAAACATTTGCAATGTAGCTATGATCACCATTTTTCAAACGGATTGAGATGTTACCTCTCCTTTTACTAGAACTTTGGAGGTGTCTTCAAAAGTGACTTGGCCTTTTATAGTTTCATCTAGATCTTTAAATAGATCTCGTTGACCACTCATGTGATTGCCAACTCTAGAATCCAAATATCATATATTCTCTTGATTCTCACCTAGTCCTTGTTAGACTAATAATGTAGCTGGTCCTCTAATGTTGGCATCCTCATCTGCATAGTTAGCTTGTTCACGTACCTTTATTAGAGCTTTCCTTCGACATTCAGTGCTATAGTGCCCAAATTAATTACAACTATAACACTGGATATTTCTCTTGTCACGGTTATTGTAACCGCCTTCTTTTCCTCTAGGAGTAAATGTTTGTTGTCCCCGGTCTCCTCTGGTGGTGTTTCTACCTCCTCTTCCTCTGAATCCTGTATTCCAAGATTCTCTTTCTTGAAATTATTGAAATCCTCCTCGTCTTTGTTGACTCCTTTCTTAAGTGGTATATCCACTTATTGAAATCTCTCTGCCCTTCTTGAGAGACAACTTTGATTGTAAGGCATGCTCAATTTTCTTATCTCTATTTTTTTTCATAATCTTTTGCTCATGAGCTTGCAGAGAACTCATGAGCTCATCCACCGTCAACTTGTCCACTTCTTTGAATTCTTCAATAGCAACAATAACAAAATCAAATTTTGGATCTAGGGATCTTAAAATTTTCTCAATAATTCGAGCATTGAGAGGACTTCTTCATTTCTTCTCATCTGATTGACTATCACCATAATTCTTGTTTGTTGATAATCAGAAATAGATTCTGATAACTTTATTTGCACTTATTCAAATTCACCAAACAAAGCTTGAAGACGAATCTTATTGATTCTGTTAGCACCTTTGTATTTTTATTAGAGAGCCTCCCATATTTCTTTTGAAGTTTTTGCAGAAGTAATGATCTCAAAGTGGCTTCATCAAAACCTTAATAAATGATGGTCTTTTCTTTTTTTATGTTTCTTTCTATTGGCTATCAAGAGTTGTTTCTATGGCTCTCAAATGCAAACCCAGGCTTAGAATGGCCTCATCAGCCTGGGCCCAAGAGTAACACAGAGAAACAGCCCAAATCCATACAGAAAATTTACCAATTGATTTCCAGAAATTTTCATTTTGTAAAACCATTTTTGCACCTTACTTCCCACCAGAGAAGTCTCAAGAATTCTCACTTATTCAACAAGTATATAGTGAAAAGGAGGTGGCGAAACTGCTCAAGAAGCATGAGGACCCCAAGACCCGTGGAGACATTGAAATCTCTTTTTTATGAGGCCAGGGCTCGTCCTGAACATCCTGTTTATGGCTCTGCTGGTTATGTCTATTCCCTTCAACGACAAATTTTCGTAGTTAATGAACTACTTTTTAATGCCAAGAAGGAACTTGCAAGTTATATTGGTGAAGAACACGTAGGGCTTCCTTCATGTATTCCACCGATCAGATTGCAAAAGCAGTTGAATCCTTCTTCTTCGTTTCCAAGTCCACCAATCCTGAAATCTGCTCCTCATGCAGCGGTGAAATGGGATCTTTCTAAAATTGATCGGAAGGAAAATGACTTTTTTACCGCAGCGGCTACATTACATCATCAGGGTATTCCTGCCGTGATACCATTAAGGAATAAGGGACCAACTCCGGACTTACGACAGCAGAAGCAGCAAGATTTTGTAGGTGAAGCAGACCTGACTTTGGATCATGAATTGGATAAAATGGATCACAGCTCCTCTCAGATTGATCAATCACCAGCGGATCATTTCCTCTTGGTTCTTTCTCGGTAGTTCAACTCCAGTCACAGAAGGGACAGCATCAAATGCAAACGAGAGGACATTTTAGTGTAAGTTGGACCTTTCTTGGTTCTTGTTAGTTCCTTGAAGTTATTTTCCTTTCACGTTTACTTTCTTCGAATCATGTTTGTAGTTTGTGGTTTCTTTTTGTTCATTTGTCATTGACTGCATTTGAGTTTATTCTTCAAAGCATAATTTTGATATTTGATGCATTTTTTTTTTTATCGAACTCACTGGTATAGCTAGATTGGTTTTTCATTGTTACCTAGTTCAGTTACTTGCATATAATCACTAATCACTATTCCATCTTTGATATTTCCAGTTTGTCCTTGTTCATGGAAAAACTGTTTGCTGATATATCCTGATGAATGCCAACAAGCCAAAGTTAATATAAGGAGGATCTCTGTATGAAAATGCAAATATACATCTGAGCTCTCATAGCTAAATGAATTTATAATCAGATTGACAACTCCTCATTACATTTTCCCTCTTTCCTCCTTTACGCAGCTCAAACACGCCTTCCAAGCCACCAATGAACACCACAGAGGGAGTTACGTCTGATACATGAGGATCCAGCAATAGTATTTTCAGAAGACTTTTGGGATACTAATTAATGAAGTATGTAGATTTGATTTTTCAGTAGAGATTTGTTTCTCTTTTGCAGTCGTGGAGTTAATCACTTTCATGCAGGTGTGGAATATGCAAATGATTAGATGTTAAATGGTTTCAAAAGCTTTAGTGATTGTACAAACACCAGATGATGGATGCAGTTTGTGGCCTGGAATTTCTTCTACAAAACCATGGTGGGTTTTCTGAAACAATGCCCTTTGGCGTGCTCGGCGCATCGAAAAAACACACATGGCCACAAATTTGCAAGCAGATTTGGAGTTCTCAGAAACTGTACATCTCTTTTGAAATTGTCTTTTATGACCTAAACTCAATTCAATGTTGTAGTGTTCATTAGATTCATATGGTTTTGTTTAATTTGATGATATTATCATGTTGTACTGAGAAAAAAGTAATTTTTTTAAGAGCTCCCTTTTGAATGAAAACTGTAATCAAAGTCAAAACATTAAATGATTTACATAATATCACAATTACTTACCAGTTTTCATAATTAATCCAAGTTGATGACAATCTAAGGGAAGAGATCCGAGGTTGCCTGAAACACAACGGTTAATGGTTCATCACTGTTCAAGTTAGGAGAGGTAACATGATAGGTAAATCCAAATCACTGGTTTTGAAATTAATGGTTTGAATTTTTTTATAGAAAAAATAATTACCAATTTTAAATAGACTCTAACCACCCACTTATGTTGATGATTCAATGACATTTGTTTTTGTATGTTAAAAATGTTCTTGAAAAAAATTATTTTTTTATTTTTAATTAATATTTTTTATATTTTCAAATTATTTCAATATGTTAATATTAAAAATAATTACAATCATATTCTCCCACGTACATAATTAATTTTTAAAATTAATGGACTCAATATACCTAACATGTAGATCATGTTATCCCGAACATGAAGAGAGCCAAATTAATGTAATTTCTGTCTTTTGAGCTTGTTTCATGCCCCATTACAGAAAAAGAAAATGTTTTAGTAGCCAAAGAAGAACTAGTAAACTGACATGACAACCTTAGTTGATAAAGGGTAGAAAGGCAAAGCATTTATTAGGCTTTTTTTATTGTTATTGAAAAATGAATTTCATGAAAAATTTTAAAAATAATAATTAAAACAATCTTATTTTTACCAAATTTTATTTTTAAAAAAGTTAATAATTTTTTTACTAATATTTTTTTTAGTTATTTTTAATCGAGTCAGTTTTTATTATATTTTATCTTTTAATCAGGTTAGTGGTAGTTCAATAACTAAAATTATTATAATATTATTAATTTCAACATTCAATATAAAATAAAAATAATAATATCTAATTATTTTTAAAAATATATAAGTTTGATAAAAATACATATTAATAAAAAAAAAATAGATTTTTTTTATATTTTTTATTTTATTTTATCCATCATAATCAAATATAATATAGAAATTGTTACTTTATTTTGTATATCACTATCAAACATAACTTCTTCTTCTTTTTAATCTTTACTGTCTTTATTTTTTCTATCTATAAACAGTAATGAGATGCTATCTTAACTACTACTTCTTCTTTTTCTTCTTCCTTTTCTTTATATATATATATATATATATATTAAGAATGAGTGGATTTATTAATAATAAGATAGCAAAGCCAGAAAACAGAAAGAAGCCATAAATATACATGGAAGAGCATATAAAGCACCCAATATACATTCTACCTGATAAAGAAAATTCAAGTAACTCAACTATCATCAGGGAAAAAAAAAACCTTTTCCTTGCAAATAAAATAGCCACTCTCGAGACTACAGCTGATTTAAAGTCAGTAGCTAATTTAAGGTTCATGATAAGAAGCCATGGTGATCTTGAGAGTCCTCGGCTATTAAGACTTCTTCTCATGGATGAATTTTCCTCTGTAAGTCTGTGAATATGTATAGAATATGAGAAAGAAAGTCCCTTCTCTATATAACTCCTCCTAAAGAACCCAAAGCTTATTAGCAGAGCACTAGTTTATAAAATAATAGCATCTAGATATTGAAAAGTTTCTGCTATTATAATTAAATTTAACTTAAAGATCTCGATGTAATTTTAACTTTTTTTTGTTTAGTATAAGTTTTAAATTAAATTATATAAAAATTATTTCAGCATGATTTTATTAACTAAATAAGTGTAAAAAAAAAACATCAGTTAATTTCATTGCAAAACCTGCAACTCAAATTACAAATTCGTACCATTGAATTAATTTTTTAATTATACAATAAAAAATATAAAAATTAACACACAACCAACTAAATATTAAATGATATAATTAATTAAAAACTCAAGATAAAATAAAACAAAAACAAAAATAAATTGTGAAGACCTCAAAGGACTAGATAGAACAAAATCCAGGTAAGTGCATCTAATAGAGGCCCCGATATTTATTTATTTATTTTTAGATCCTTTTCTTTTTGAAAAAGAATTGCATAAACGACATGTCGCTCCCATCATTGTTCGAGCACGCAACCTCACAGCAATACACTTCAAGCAACCAAGTAGCAACATGAATCTGTTATAAAACGTTCGCTCATCTTTTTATTCTTGGAAAAAACATTACATAGACGATAATAGGTGTATACATTGTCACATTAAACATAACATTTTGCTCCCATTATTGTCCGAACACGCGACCTCCACCTCACACCACACGTTTTAATTAATCAAGCTACAACATGAATTTATTACAAAACGATTAAAAACGCGATTTATTGTTTGTTTGTTTATATATATAATTTTCGTAGTTGTAATGCCATAAAGGAGGACCTTGCCCATTATATTTCTCGACCGTTGGGCCTCCTAAAGAACAAATTAAACAGAAGGTCTAAGTTTTGTTTCTTTTTAATCAGACAATGCTTTCAAGGTGCGCATATAGGTTTCAGTCGGCGTAGTACGATAGGGTTTGAGATCTGTAGTAGATTTTGAGTTTGAGCTGGGATATATATAGTTTGTGAGAGTCTAATAAAAGTTTTATTTATTCATTTAAATTTATAAAATATGATTTTCAGAGAGAAATTTTCTCAAATTCAAAAAAAATATAGGTTTATAGTAACATAACATAATTGTTTATATACTTGTTAATTTTAGAGTTTATAAAATTAGCTAAGTATATACAAATTAGTGTGGATATTTAAGTTAATCTAAAAAGATCATTTATTAATTAAAAATAAAAATAATTTATCTGATGATAACATTATAGCCCTGTGATTTGAAATTGCTGAAGCTCACTCTTGGAAGAAAGCTTTGAGTGTCAGCTGAGTTTTACCTAACTATTATATGTCAAATTGGTGTATTTTTTCCACAATTGCTGCATCGGGTAGCCTACTGAGGACAAGCACACGATCCACGACCTCTCTAGTATCCTGTTCATACTTTATTCTAGAGCCAAATTAAAACTATTGACGAGCCTCATCAAGATTAATTCACAAATTTTCTTGTGATGTGATGGATTTGATTACTATAAAATATTTATTTATCATTTTTATTTTCAAATAACAGAAATCTATCCTAGAGTTATTATAAAAATATTTATTTTTATATTTTCATCTCTAATTTTTTAACCAAACAAATTTTTATTTACTATTTATATATCCCTTTGATTTTTAAATATTAATCAAAATAGTTAATACTGTTAATTTTTTTATTTAGAGTATAATGATGGTTATTTTTTAAAAAAATTAATTTTAATATCAGATGATGGTTATTTTTTAAAAAAATTAATTTTAATATCATCATATTAAAATAATTAAATAATTAAAATATAAAAAATCAAAATTTTATTAAAAACAGAATTCCAATGTTACCTTACACAAAACTCTAAATCAAGAATGAGTGGAAAGTGGTTTGGTATTTCAGCATTCCATGTCAAATCCATGCACGTGATAAACTGTATAGCTCATGCCAGCTCATCAAGAGCCAACAGTAGAAAAGGATTCGAAAGGAGAATTAAAATACCAATTAAATAAAGTTGAAAGAGACAAAATGGTGATTTGCAGGCCGTGGCTCAACTCGGGATGATATTCGCCTTTTTTTAAGTTAACAACTCAATTTCTATGGGGTGTGTTTGGAAGACTATTCGTTATTTTTTTTAATATATTTTTTATTTTTAAAAAATTATTTTTCACATGTAACATTAAACATTAAAAAAATATAATTTAAAATAAAAAATAAAAAATATAATTTTTTTTATTGAGCTAAGCTTGTTGGACCACCAAAAATATGTTATCTTTCCTTTTCTTTTTATTTTTTTGCCTCTTTGGTCTAATTCTATGTTAATTATAATAGATTGGTGAAATATATATGTGGCATGCTCTACAGGATATTCGATTTTATTCAAAATTAAAAATTTAATATTTTTATAAT